AGTCGTCTGCCAGAGGTATAAGTAAGGAGAAGGTCATCATCGGGATGCACCCCAGCTGTGTGCATCGACAAACCAGTCGCTAATTACTGGAATGCAACACAGCTGAGGTGCAGAGCCCACAGGATAGAGAGAGCAGAGGAGAGAAAGACGGAGGAGAGGCAGCGGCCCTGACACTAGATGCACTAGTCCCTCCTGTTCAACCTGTTTTTAAACTGCTAACATTAGAGACCATCTTAATGAAAAATGAAATTTAAACAGTAAAAGAGACATGTTACCATAGCCTATAAAGCTTGTTAGCTTTTCAAAAACCTCAAAATGAGTTATTTAGCATATAACAATAAGAAAAGGGTGATGCTATCAACATTATGTCAGTGACAATAAGCCTTTTTCATTTAAAATACATGTAAATACAGTGTCTGGAGTGTTTGGTAAGGGTTTAAAAAGTTTATTGAACCTATATGAAAAAACAAATTGTTGTGTGTGTCTGGTAAAAAAAGCTTGATTATCAAACATATGCTATATAGTAAATGACACTGCTTGTTCCCACAAACAAACTGTATAGTTATAGCACCTATTCCTAATTTACTCACACATCTATGAACATAGCCAGACACATACAAATCAGTTACATCACAAACACATACAAGCCCTATACTTGCTAAAAGAGAAGAAAATATTTATTTCTGCTGCTGTTTATTGCAGTAGAACAGTAGTAACCGGTATTATGCCACAAGGTGGCGGTGTTGAGCCAATCTGCAACTACAGGCCATAAAGGCATCATTTATAGGCCGGCCGTTCTCATTGCTGTGTTTGGATGTTGTTTTTGGCTTTGTAGGCTTCATGTTTCTTCTTTGTGCCACTTTGTAAGTTTTTTCTGAAAGTGTTGAGTTTTCAATTAAAAATATAATTGTTGTTTAAACCTCTTTAAAATACTGAAAATAGTGAAATAGCCTACACTTCATTTCCTGTAGAGATCTGTAGGGTCTGTGGCATTTATTAGGTAGCCTAATAAGAAGAAAGAAAGAATAATACATTGCAAATAAGTATTTCCAAAATATTTCTGAGGGAATATGGTCCTATAATTGTTTGTGTGTGTGTCATTTGTGTGATAGCCTCCTATCAAAGGAGTGGCCCCCCTCTTTTTCCTAGTGAGCAGAGAAAACATGGGAGGTTGTGAGCAAGGTAAACATTCGGGAGAAGTGATTTATGTCGTTTTTTGCCTCTGTACTGAAATTATCCAAACAAATTATTGGGATTGTCTTCTACTGCTATTGTTCTACAACCACGTACCGTTATATACATTTTGGTACGGCTCTTATAACAACGTTATACAGTCTCTACCCCAGCGGTCACAGCTCAGTCAATAGCACTAGTCAATGTTATGTGACTGGCGTTGCGTTTCAATATCGATTATCATTATGTGTAAATGATTAACATTGCTGGCTGCTGGCTCAGTAGGCCAACTTGATAAATAGCCTAGACACTTATTACAAAAAGTCTGGTATGAGTCGTATTTTTTGTTTTGATTAAGGTCGTAGTTACTGAATGTGCCTACTTACATACGACATAAAAAGAGGCAAATACTGTAATACCAGGCACCTGCGCATGACATGAGAATACGATTTACGTGGAGCTCGTGAAGGCGTCATGCCTATCACATGGTGATCGTTGAGGGAGGTCGCGCTACCAGGCAGAGTACAGACGAGCGAAAAGTACGGAGTTCAGAGCATCTTTCCTCTGTGAGTGTGTTTTATGTGTGTGGTAGGACCATGTATGTTCGTGTGCTCGCATTATCATCACCTGTGCCCCGAAAGCCAAATTAAAGGATTTGTTTTGATGAAGCTTCAGATGAGTTGCATACCGTAAGTAAAACGACAGCATGAAGTAATCTGTTTGTGTCATACAGTTTAAGGTACTGTTCTCGGAAAATGACATTTCATTTCTGTGGAAAATTCTCATGGTTATTATAGTGGTACTGTCGGAGATAAAGAAATCCCCATAAAGAGATTTACTACAAACTTAGCGGGTATTTAAATGCAACAAGAGAAAAGTCCACAGAGCTGAGTTTAATGGGCTGTCGTGAGAATGGTTTAACTGTACTTCAACACGAAGGAACTTTCTTTCCTTCTTTCTTTCATTCAGTAAAAGTGAGTTGTGGTTTCTGGGTTATTGCACCTATTGATACTCTAAGCTACCATTAATGATTATAGTGGGACTTAATGTGTGTCTGTGGAGAGCAGCACTGAGGTTTGCAGAGGCTTAAGCACATCCTTAATGCTCTCCACGAATATAGGGTTAAAACAGAATAGGGTCCTGGAGTAGGCTAGAATATTCCTACCATAATGTTACAGGTGTGTTATAGGTTATTCCTTATGTTATTACTAAAACATTCCTGTAGAACATTTAACATAAAGTTTACAGGATATATGTTTTTTTTGGCACATGGCAGCAAGTTTGGCTTGTGTACAGGCAATATGCTCCAGGATAGAAAACATGGTGCTTCACTACTTGCTCAGTCATGTACTGTCAGCTTGGAGCTATTAAATGACAGTTAGTTGCACTGACACATGCTGTGTAATTGCAAGCCATTATTTTCTGACAGCGTGAGTAAAAGAGGGAGACGGAGGAAGGGGGGATGCTATTATTCTAACGGAGGAATATCAAGACTGATGTGTAGTGCCCCTCTGCTAAAGCATCTGCTGCACTGAACAGTGGGGTAGGACATGGACACACAGATCATGCACACGCACATGCACAGACATCACACACAGGCAAATGGAGAGAGCTGAGGGAGTCTCCTGCCACTGAATACAGCAGGCCGGTGCCTCTTTTCTATTGCAAATCACATTTAAAAGGGAGAGAGTTGAAAGGCATCATTGCTACTGACGACAGTGAATTGATTAAGGCTGCTTTGGTTGGCACTTGAGTGCTATTAGCATTTAAAGGAAAGAGTTTGAATACTTGAAGAGCATCTAAGGAAAGAGCTGGAGTGAATAAACGCCTTAAATTTGTAACATATTTATTATTGTAACAGTCATAGTTTGCTCTGATGGTATTGTTAGTTGACTTGTGGAGTATGTTTTAAAGCTGTTCCTGTGCACATATGCATTACATAGTGCACACACAGTGGATCAGCAGATGATGGCACTCATCCCTTTGATCAAAGCCACTTGTGTAATTCCAAGAGTGGTTGTTTTCTCTGTGGCCACACAAGATCAGATGATCGTCCTGTCATCTTAACTACTGCTGCTAATCACACCACGGCTGTAGTTCACTGGAGTAATCCACTGTTCCCTGATGGTGAGGAGAGGTGCAGGAGAAGGAGAGCGATGTATAAGAGAAGAAGGAGAGATGTAAGTGCAGCTAAGTCAGAGGAATGGCTACGAAAGAGGGACGGGAGAGGGGAAGGGTAGAGGCCAGGTAGATGGAGTCAGGCTGCTAATTTATGAGGAAAAATCCTTTGCTTGCTGAGGATGTGGAGGAAAAGATAGTGAGCGAGAGAGAAAGAAAAAGCTTAAAAATGAAATTTATTAAAGGTTATTTCTGATTTGCTGTCAAGGGAGGGGAATGAGAAACAACTGGTAGAGAAGAGCAAAGAATAGGTACACATCCTGTCATTGAGAAAACAGCAGAAGAAGAAAGAAAGAATTTTAAAGAGTGGAACCCTAGAAAAATGAGAGCAAAGAGGATGGGAAGGAATTGATTAGTTTCACTTTTAAATGTTAGTTATTCACATAGTTTCTGATGGGCCACACTAAGTTATTTTTTGCCTTTATTATTGAAAGTGGATTGCAGAGAAAGAACAGGGAGAGGGCTTGTGACAAAGGCTGGTGGCTGGACTCAAACCGCTGAGATCATGTACACAGTATGCCTGAGTAGATGGCGCACTACCCCATACCCATTCAGCCACTGAGGCACCCAACTACATAACAACTCTAACTCATTTTGAGCGCAGCCTGTGATCTCAGTATATGCATATTGCAACTCTTTTGAAAGGTAAAAGACTCTTAAGAGGAAAGAATAGGTGACTCATTGCAGGTGTTTGACTTTGTTCTGATGCTGGCACTGCACATGCAGGCTTCTTGAAATGACCAATAATCACACCGAAAGACCTCCAAAATATGCTTGCTCATTCCAGTACAGATTCTCTTCCATGTGTAAACAGTGTGACTGTTAAAGACAGTTGCCAAGGTCTGTTTTTGTTGAATCAGCGGCAAACATGCTGAGATAATAGTGTGGTACTTTTTGGAGCTATGGTTTTGGACTTTGTGCCTTGAATTGCAACTATACTCATACATAAAAATGGTGGCATAAATGAATCTGTTTAAAGCTGGATGTTTTGTCTTAGATATTTATAGAAGAGCTGAGGTGATTATTTGATTAAAATGAAGATGAATCCAGCTACTGTGATACTTGATTGTTTCCTTGAGTTGATTCTTCTTTATTACAAGTAACATCACATCTTTAGGTTTTGGACTGTTGGGCAGATAAAACAAGCAATTTGGTGACATTACTTGGTGCTCCAGAGCATTGTAATCTGTAATGAAAATAGTTATGCAGGCCATTTGCATTCATTTTAATGCACTTCTGTCAGGTCCACTCGGCGTGACCTGCCTCTCCTTCTTTTTCCCTCTCCTCTCTCCCTTTTTGCGGGATCAACGCCTCAGCTGTGTCGCATCGGGTAATTAGTGACTCGTGG